AGTGCTCGCCCCTTCTCTTTGAAGTCTGGCATCCTTTCACCCTTCAGGTCTTAGCTTTCCCATCTGGACCACCATCATTTTAATCCCAGACTACTGAGACTGGCCACTTAATTGGTCTTCCCATCCACTCAAGAGACCTTTCCTTATCACTCCATCAAAGTCAACCTCCTGTTATACTCCATGACTGCACTTCTTTGTTTCTTGGTCAGATTTCTAGCAATCTATGCATCTGTTTATATATCTTCCTGACCTCATTACAAACTCACCGGAGGCCAAAAACCATATTTGTTTCAGTCACCACTATATCCTCAGCAAATTACCAAGAGCCTAGCATTTACACGGTGTAGAACACATTCTTGTTGAATAAATAAATAACATCAGCTCTACTTTACAGGTGGAAAAACTAAATTCGAAAGAGCTAATGACTTAACCAAGCTGAAATATTAACTACAAAGCAGAGGTTTGAACATCGGTTTCTTGCTCCAAGTTCACTCTTTGCACCACACAGCACTCTCTCTCTCAGCTGAGGTTGGATACATTTTATTAACAGAAGATCACATATTGTATTCCTTCATTCATTCAACATCCAAATAATGCTTTCAGTGCTTACAACATGGCAGGAGCTCTGTTAGATGCTAGATAATTGATCAAAGTATGGTTTGCAGACAAATAGCTTACCTTTTAGTTTCTCAAACTCAACAACATGGGCATTCAGGGTAGGATCATTCTTTGTTGTCAGGGGCTGCCCTGTGTGTTTGTAGCACATCTAGCAGCATCCCTGGCTTTGACCCACCAGAGGCTAAGAACACCTGCCAAATTATGTTAGCCAAATGTGACTCCAGACATTGTCAGATGTCCACTGTTGGGTGGGGGGGAAAAATTGTCTCTTGTTGAGAACCATTGCTTTGATGCAAGAGTGTCCCTAGTAAGTCAAAGATTTCATTATGGTGGCCAAATGGCATGGTTGTGAAAAGTCTACAGAAAGCACAGTGAAAGGACAGGTAATTGGACTGCAAGAGGAAGTGAGCCTTGGGGCTGAGGCTTGGACCAAGTTTCAGTTGTAAAGTCAGAGTCATTTAGATAAAAGAAGGGGATAAAGGTTTTCCTGGGTACATGTCATGACATACACAATGACATGGAAGCGTGAGTGCCAGGGAACTATGTAGAGTTGAGCATGGCTGGAGTGACCCAAGGCAGGAGCCCAGGGCAAGGGCTGTCTCTGCCAGGGAAAATTTTACTTCTTGATTTTACTTTTCCATCTCCAGTCTATTTCCAGTTTTACAATTCATGCTTGAAAAGTGTTTGTCTGCATTTGATAAATCAGGGGCCCGGCTATCCAAGAAAATCTGATGTCAGCTTCACGGAAGGCTTTGCTTGCAAGACCTGTAGAACCCTCCAAGCACAAAACCTCATTAATGTGCTAGAAATCCATACAGAGGAGGGCAGAGATGGGTTTGAGTTTTCTGGGGTGAACTTTGTCTGGCATCTGATTATCCTCTGGGTTCATGGATTTCAAGCAACACAATTAAGAAGTAAGCTGACCGCCCGTTTGCCGGAGGAAGAATTCCGTAAGCCTCTTAGGTGTTATTGCTGGGAGTAATTCATAGCTGAGGTTTCTGACTTGTGCCTGATGCCTCTGGGTTTCTAACACCCTTGGAATCTTTCTCATAAACCGTCCTCTGAGACCATGGCCTGTTGTGTAAACATAGTTGAAGCAGTTCAGACTCTTAAAGGTTGCAAATGAAGCATTGAAATGCCAAAGAGGCAAATCCTAAATCCCAGTAAGAGAGAACAAAGAGGGCCCTGTCATTAACTTCATAATTTTCGATGTTTATGCTGAGATTACCGGTCAGGACAGAGCAGCTGCCATTACTTTTGCCTTGCTTAGTTTATCTGGAATTAGGCTGTGCATACACTTATCTCCTGCTGAGGTGAAGTTCAGTGAGGATGGTGAGTGTGTGAGACCGGCATTAGGAAGCACTGTAAAATAACATATAAATCCCCAGAATTTATCTGTTCATTAAAAAAAAAAAAAACACACACACTTACTCTGTGGCTCAGGAAATTTTATCCATCCTTTATATGCGTGCCATTAGCCCTCTCCTGCTTCTGCGGGAAGAGGATTATTTACCCAGATAATGGTGACAGCCAGCATTTCCTGAAGGCTTCTCCAGTCCTCATTCCAGAAGTGGGCGAAGGCTTTTCCATGGACTCCCTCATTTAACCCTTACAAAGCCAGGCACAGCGAGGGCTGTCCTCACAGTGCTTGTGAGGAGCTGGAGCCAGAGAGAGTGACTTCTGTGTCCGGGTCACGTGTTCCTTGGGACCTTACTCCTCAGGGCTGGGATTGCCCCAAAGGTCATGACTTTCATCGCCACCCTGAACTTGGGGATGTGCTAAGGAAGGGAGGAGGGTCATGGGCACAAAGATAACCAGGCTGAGTCTTTGCTTTGCTGGGACTGCACATTCTAGCGTGGAGGAGACAGGAGTGGGGGGCAGATGTGGAAATACGGTCTGCACCAGTGTGTATGAGTGTGACAAAGAAAACTGCAACATGTTGTTGGAGCACGTGGGGAGTCCCTGATTTCCAGGGATGAGGGTGGGGCACTCAGGACATTTTATTTAAAGGTAGATAGCCATGAGGTGGGCTGAGAAGGCAGGGTGCATGGCAGCTGGAGGACATGGGCGTTCCATGGCTTGCAGGCAGAGACTTGGGGCTATCAGAGGCTCTGTGCAGATAGGATAGTTCCTATTCCTGATCTAGCTAGACAGAGTAGGCAGGGGCCAAGAAGAAGCAGACCTGAAGAGAGACTGTCCTAAATTCCCCCTTTCACTGAGTTCATAGGTTGGAAAGCCTTCCTTCTGTTCAGTTGATTTCTTGCCTTGTACAGGACTTCTAGTCCATAGACCCTGATATATTTCTCTGTCCCAGCAGTCATTCATCTAGAACTGGTCAGGAAAAACACTCTGAAAATTTTGTCTTTGGCACAGGGAGGATAGAGCCATCAGAGTGCTAGAATTTCCTGGAATGTACTCTGGTCAGGTTACTAGTATAATGATGCTGGGTGAGAGAGCACAGTCCAGAGGGAGCCAGGAGTAACAGCTGTCCATTCATATGTTCATTCATTTATTTATTACCTAAATACATCCTAGTGCCTTCTCTGTGCCAGGTCAGAGGCAGGAAACATTGCAGATGTTATTATGTGTAATGCCCCCAGACCTCCATGCAGCAGGTGCTCTTAGACCCACTTACCGTTCTGGACCTGGTGCTCAGAGGGGGTTGGGCACTTGCTCTGCCAGCAGAGTGCTCTACACTCCTCCTTGGCTCCAACACCTATGAACTCCCCACTGCACCTCGCCAGGGAGACACCAGCAGCTTCTGACAGGAGGCACGTGGCTGCGATCACCTGACACACTCCTTAGGAAGACTAAATCAGGGGCGCCTGAGTGGCTCAGTGGGTTAAGGCCTCTGCCTTCGGCTCAGGTCATGATCCCAGGGTCCTGGGATCAAGCCCTGCATTGGGTTCTCTGCTCAGCAGGGAGCCTGCTTCCTCCCTTTCTCCCTGCCTGCCTCTCTGCCTACTTGTGATCTCTGTCTGTCAAATAAATAATTAAAATCTTAAAAAAAAAAAAAAAAGAAAGAAAGACTAAGTCAGCTCTGGCCAGTGCAGAGGCCATATACGTCCACTCAGCTATTTATCACACAAGCACATGGTGCACCTACTGTGTGCCAAGCCCTGTGTGGGGTAGTGAGAGGAGGCCACTGAGTTGAGTCTCTTGATGTGTGAAAACTCACTGCGTGGCTTTTCTCTGGTAGGTACCGTGCAAAGAGGGCCTTGCTCCTCCTGCCCAGCTGGGAGAGGGAAGGGATAATATTTATAGAGCACCTACTGCATGCCAGGCTCTATGGCAAATCCTTGGCAAACATCATCTCCTTGCAACCATGTGAAGTAGGCACCCCTATTTTAAAGATGAGGTACCTGAGTCTCAGAAAATGCAGATTTGCCCAAGGTCACCTTCATGGCCAGTGGTGGAGCTGGACACAAATTCTGCACCAGGACTACTTTATGTTGGACTTATTAACTCTTTTTTTTTTTTTTTTTTGGTGCCAAGACCACTTTTGATGGTGTGTTGAATTCCAGGGACCTTTTCTCAAGATCACAATCTTGAATTCATATGTAAAATGCATACGGTTGCAAAAGAAATTGATTGTATTGATAACTATCAAAATATTGAACCATTTGAGATGCAGTCATATATGGGCTTCTCTGTGATGCATTTAAGGACAAGACCTCTAGCCGGTCAGAATACTACCATCATTTGGAAACAACTGGGAGCACAGCAACCCCCGGGGCTAACAGGATCTGAAATGCCCTGTGATTTCTGCTGTGGAAGATACAGCACAAGACTGGGGTATTGAGGGTATCACTAGGGTTTATTACCTACATACATGATTGAAAGATATGCTCATTCCTTTAGAGGTTAGTAAATTAAAGTTGCAATGTTTTTCCCATCTAAGCTCAGGAGCCGCCTCCCCTATAAGTTCTATCCATCCAGTTTGGATGCCTGCTTTTTGCAAGTTATGTCACTCAAGTCTGTTCAAGGAGCATTTGAAAGGTTTCTTCTGTGAGAGCTGCTCCACTGGGCACCATGGAATGGTACAAAGCAAGTTATTGAGGAGATGGTACAGGGGAAGGCATGAAGCTCAGCCATCTGCCGCTGGAAGCTAGGCATTCGATGTCCCCTCTGCCATTTGAGCTGCATGTAGCATTTGAGAAAAAAGAAGTGCAGAGAAGTTAAGAAATGTGCCCACGGTGTCTTAGCTAGTAAGATGCCAAGCCCTGTTCCAGTCCAAGCCGCTAAATCAACTTTAGCACCAAGGGCTCGCTTCCCCGCTATCACACGAAGAGGTCAATGTGTGAGTCTTTATGGAGAGGGTTGGGTAATTATGAAAGCCTGCACTCAAGGAGGAAAATTGTTCACTTTTGCTTATTTTGTAGCCAAAAGCTGGGTCTCTTGGATCGGGTTCGCCTTTCTAATCCTCGTGGTAGCAATACTAAAGGAAAGCTATTTACCCCTCTGAATGTAGATGCCATAGAAGAAAGTCCTTCTAAAGAACCAAAGCCTGTGGGCTTAAACAATAAAGAACGTTTCCGCACCGCCTTCCGCATGAAAGCCTACGCTTTCTGGCAGAGCTCCGAAGGTGAGGCCTTTCTCCTTTCTTGCTCTGTCCCCTCCACTTCTCCCTCTGCCTTGTCCTTCCCTTCCCCCCTTTTCCCCCCACGACAGAAGATCAATTTCTTGCTTCATCCCATGCACGCCCGCTGTGCTGGGGACACCTGTGATGCCTCCCCATAGCTTGGGGGACGGGAGGCTCCGAGTTACCTATTCTCTGGTCCACTATCACCGCACTGGTCTGTGCAGGCACCCAGGGAGCCTTGAGATGCCCAGCCTTGGTTCACATGGGTCTCATGGAAGGGAAGTACACTGCCATGGAGGTCAACTTAAAGGGCATGGAGGCCCAGGTGCAGAATGATCTGAAGACCCAGAGGCCTTAGCATCCCCAGGGGGGTGGGAAGAGGTAATAGAAAAGAGCCCTGTGAAGACAGTGGGAGTGATATCTCTGTACATCCCTTTTACTTGTGACAAGGGAGGACAGGCAAGTCTCAGAAAGTGACCCTACAAGGTCATCAGGGCAGTGCCTGACAGAAAGAAGCTGGCCTCAGGTGCCTGACTATAACACCCTTGTGGATGCCCTTTGCTGTCTTTGCGGGGCCACTCAAGAACCCCAAAACTCATGTCCCACCTTGCTAGCCTTCTCCCCAGTCAACATTCTTGAACTACAGGCACCTCTAACTCATGTCTGGAGAATAGAAGGACCTGCTAAGAAGGCCTGAACAGTGTCACAACTAGAGAATACCATCTTGTTTCATGAAGTGGAAGCCAACACTCTGGTGGTTGAGCCTCAAAGGCTCTTACCGAATGGGGTCCCGAAGCCTTTGCAAGTGCTATGGCTTGCTCTTTGATATGTGTGTCTCCCTCCCAGATGCTGGGACAGGTGATCCCATGGCGGAAGACAGGGCCTACGGGAATGACTTCCTCATTGAAGAGATGATCCCCACCCTGAAGGCCGCCATCCGAGCCGTCAGGTGAGGCCCCCTCTTCCCCACTGAGGGCCTAGCCAGACCCCAGTTCAGCTCCCACAGGATATTGGCTTTGGGAAGTTGGGTGGGAAACCCTGTCAGGTAGTCCTGAGTCAGGTTCCAGGGTATGTCAATACTCATACGGGCATGTTGCCTGAAGAAAAATGATCTCTACGTTAGCAAAGCATCATGGGTAACTCTTGCTCTCTGGTTTATAGAAATGCTCCCATAGGCTCCTGACACTATTTCCAGTTGTCATGCTCTTGTCTGGCTTTGGCCACCATTTATTTTACAGGTCTGCGACGTGGGGTGTATGTTGATGTGGAGGTTTCTTCCTTTATAGGCTTCTCAGACAAAATGGCTTTCCTTATCTGCCTCCACCCACCTAGCTCTTTTTAATTAGCACTTTTCAACAAGATAGTCAATTATAGGATTGTGTGTGTATCAGCCAAGACTATAATCCACCCTGGCTATGTTTGTTTTGCTTCAGAATTCCACAAGAAAATGAAAATAGGCTTACTAACAGGAAATTTGGATCAGGAGAGGGGCTTATAAGCACTCTACAATGGTGGCAGTGAATTCTAGAAACTAAGCTGGATTCTCCAAGAACTAATTGTGACATTTTCAGCAAGTTTCCTAGTCCAGTCTCTCAGGGAAGCACAATAGGGTTATAAAATGTGAACCCCAGCAGGGCCATTGACCTGGTTTCTCATGACACTGCAATATGACAGAACAATGTCTGGATGAAAGCATTACTACTTAGATGCATAACTATTTCAAAGACCTTATTCAAAGAAATAGTGAATGAGGGGCACCTGGGTGGCTTTGTCGGTTAAGTGTCCAACTCTTGATTTTGGCTCAGGTCGTGATCTCAGGGTTGTGGGATCAAGCTCCTCATTGGGTTCCATGCTCAGCGGGAAGTCTGCTTAGGGTTCTCTCTCTCCCTGTCCCTCTACCCCTCCCACTGTTCATGCCCACTCTTCCTCCACCCAGCCAAATAATAAATAAATACGGTCTTTAAAAAAAAGAAAGGAAAGGAAAAGAAAAGAAAACCAGTGAATGAATCTGTGCCAACCTGGAGGGAGGTCTCTGCTGGGATGATCCATGGTTTGGCTTCTGCCCTGTTCTTTTTAGAATTTTTTATTGATCCCTTAGTTCAGGGGTTGGCAAACTTTTTCTGTGAAGAGCCAGATAGTGAATATTTCAGACTTTGTGGTTCACAGGCCTCTGTTCAAGTACTTAGCTCTGACTCTGTGGCACAAAAGCAGCCATAGACAGTATATACATGAATGGGGGTGGGCGTGTTCCAACATCACTTTACTTTAAAAAACAGGCAGTAGGTCAGATTTGTTCTGTGAGCCACATGCTGCTGACACCTACTTTAGAAAGAGCTGCATCAAAGGCAGGCTTATAAAATGGCACCCAGTTGGAAAGGATGGCACATGAATTGGATGGCATAATCAATATGCCAAAAGAGTGTTGAGATGCTGGACCTGGGCTGTGACAAACAACATGAACTCTAAATGCTGTACAGAAAGAGACCCTCACAGAGAGAAGGGAGGGCCTGGCGTAGGCCATTGTTTCCCAGCACTGGCCTATGATTAGAGGTTTTACCTAACACCATGCTCACTGGAGGCTGACCCTGTCATGGGGTTTTCAAGGAACATTAGCCATCTGGGGTGTTTTTACTGATTCCCAGGAAGATGGAAACAAGGCTTTGGCATCTACAAGTTCTAGGTTCCCCCCTTTTATTAAGAAGCTGAGAAAACTCAGGGAACAGAAGATAGTTTCTCTTTTCTAGGCGCTCACATGTCAAATAATTAAAGAGGCTATCGAGGAGGAAATATGTCCACTGTCCTCAAATAGAGAGCAGTGTGACATGGTGATTAAGAGCATGGGCCTTGTCAGCATACAAACCTGGGTTTGAGGACAGCTCTGACATTATTAGTCAGGTGGCCCTGGAAAGATGCTGGACATCTTTGGTCCACAGTCTTATCATCTATGAGTTGATCTGTTAGCGGATTGTTCATAAAGCACTTAGCTCAGTGTCTGACTTGGAATGAATGCCCAATGAATGTTAGCTCTTATTATTACTGTGATTTTATTATTACTCAAAGGATTGAAGGGAGGTAGTCATGAAAAAGTGGTACCGGCCAGCCTGACTCTGTGTTGTTCGAAGGGGTGGGACCAGAACCATGGGTTGGAACTTCTCCTCCCCCACCAAGTCATTTCTCTTTGGTTCTTTGCTCTGCCTGCCCCTAAGTTTACTAGGCTTGAATTGTAGTTTCCTTTACTCTGCACTCATGAAGCACACACGTCTCTACTTCACTTTGCAGAATCCTACAATTCCGTCTCTATAAAAAAAAATTTAAGGAGACTTTGAGGCCTTACGATGTGAAGGATGTGATTGAGCAGTATTCTGCAGGACATCTCGACATGCTTTCCAGGATAAAGTACCTTCAGACCAGGTAAGACAGTTGTATCTGGAAGAACTCTGCTCTCCTGACCACGAAGGAACCTGAGCCCATTGAATCCAGCTAGCGCTTAGGGTGAAAGCCATTCAGAAATGGTCCAGGGTGCTGGGGAGAAATTTTAAGAACAAAAATGTTCATCAAGCATTGTGGCTGTGAAAGCCAACAAGCACCAAACAGGCCACAAAGAAGCTCTATGACATTGACCTTAGCCAAGGTCAACACCCTGATCAGTTCTCATGGAGAAAAGGCATATGTCTGACTGGCCCCTGACTATGAAGCTTTGAATGTTGCCAGTCAGAATGAGATGATGATCAACTGAGTCCAAGCATCCAATTCCAAATATAAATTTTTCACCATATTAAAAAAAGTTCATCAGGTATTATTTATAATAGTGAAAATATGGAAACAATATCAACACCCAACTAATAATTGCCACCGTTTTTGTTGAGCACCTGGGTGTTCTGCATATGTATGTCTAATCCCTTATAACCTCATGAGGTATTGCATTGTGGATGTCCTCTTATAGTTCACAAAACCCAAGCTCAAGGGGCAGTGGGCTCACCTAAAATTAATCAGTGGCAGAGCTTGAAATCACACCACATCCAATTGGCTGCACAACTCCTATTCTGTCTGATGCACCAAATTCCACTTTACCAATTATATAAATAGCAATTAAGAAAAAAATGTTCCTACTCTCATTAAAAAGTTATACAACCATCAAATGACATTTAAAAATGTATATAATGAGGTGCACCTGGGTGGCTCAGTTGGTTCAGTGTCCCAACTCTTGATTTCAGTTTAGGTTGTGATCTCAGGGTCATGGGATCGAGTCATTAGGTCATTAGGCTCTGCACTAAGCATGGAGCCTGCTTAAGATTATCTCCCTCTTCCTCTGCCCCTCTCCCCAGCCCCCCTCACACTCTCTTTCGCTAAAAAAAATGTATATAATGAGATAAAAAAATGATGTGATCATTGAATATATATGCACAATATGATTATTAATAATACAATAAGACATATATAAATACATACTTATACCTATATACATCCATATACTTAAATGTATACAAATGATTATGTTCCTATACAGTCTCTATATCAATCTAGTGATATTAATAATATATACATACCATATGATTACAAAAAAGTATGCACATATGTTTACTTAGAAATAAACCCACACACTCTCATATAGGGAACCTGCAGAAAAAGAGTAGGTCGTCCCCCAACAGACAGCAGTAGTTATACTAAAGTGATGAGTCCATGTGTGTCTTTAAAAAGTCCACTTTTTAAATTGATCAAATCTTTAATGAATTATAAAAATTTCCTTTTAAAACAAAAATCCATTTTAAAAAACCAAAGGGTAATATGAGGTCAAGACACAGAACTGACATCGGGAACCCAAAGCCTTATACTGGGGCTCATCCTCTGGCCTGTGTGAGATTTCAAGTGGACACAAGTCAAGTCCTGTCCGGACCTCGGTGTCCTCATCTGAATCATGTTTCCCTGCCCGGGTGTCCTGTGGAGTGAACAGAACCATCAGATTGAATGAGTAAGATGTTAACCATGATGTCGGGTTGGAGGAACACTTATTTGTGACCTTGTCTTATCCATAAATGGAATACCGACTGCTACCGAGCATAGTGGCAGGCACACAGTCAGTGCTCAATGCCTGTTTCACAAATGGATGAGCAAATGAGTTCTGAGCCCAACATGCAGTCATTGATGCAAATATGACTCTCTCAGCATGATGTCTAGGACATACCGGATCAAGATTATTGGCCCATCTTAATGCACGCAGAGTGGACCTTCCAGCTGTTGTTGCTTCAGTGTTTATTAGGCACATTTATTTCAAAGAGCCGTGGCTAGAGGTTGAACACCCGGATAGCTATTTGTGTATCCCCAGCCATGCTGATAGGGTGGTAGGACTGAGGAATGGAGGTGTGGTTGGGTATATTGTGGTGTCAGTGGAGGAGCAGCCAGGTCTGCAGAGAAACCGAGTGACCCAAGGCTCCTTTTGAGCGCATGGTCTTAGTGGTCCTGGGGCTGTAATGAGCCTGCAGGGTTGCTCCCACACCCCGCCCCAGTCCTGCAGGGCAGTGGGTACATCTGTCTCCGGTTGTGCTTAGGGCAAAATGGTTGGGGGAGTTGGCGCCTCATATAGAAATGGAAACGAGGTGCAAGTGTGGGTGCAGAGCCATCCCCCCAGGGGCCAGGAAGCCTGAAGAGCAGCAAAGATCTGCACAGCTGAAATCGAAGCCTACAGTTGTATAAGAAAACACCCTAATCAGATTTTCAGAGAAAAAATAAAAATGGTGGACCACCAGATAGGCTTGCGGCACACTGGACATTTCTTCGAAGAACCAACAAGACATGACCCTCACCCTGTCTCTGGTGTAGCTGCCTCTCTCCCCTGGGATGGAAAGATATGCTCGCTACTATACTGAGATTATAAATTCTCCCTCTCCTTCACTCCCTCTTTCTCTCTCCTCTCCTACTCCCCTTTCCCTTCTCTTCTATTATTTCATACCCTGCCTGGCTAAAGAGAGAAGAGAAAGAACTACTCTCCTCTCTTTGCCTGTGAAGTGCTTTGTAATGTAATCCCCTCCTTGTGTGTCTCTTTCAGAATAGACATGATTTTCACCCCTGGACCTCCATCTACCCCAAAACATAAGAAGTCTCAGAAAGGGGCAGCGTTCACCTACCCATCTCAGCAGTCTCCCAGGTGGGGCATGGGGACATGGACTGCGGCTGCAGGGCCCGTCCCCATTCCCATATCTCAGCTCACTTCCTTCATGGCTGGGGGCGGTGGGGTGGGGGTGGGGGTGGTTGCCGTTCCTCTCAGTAAAATGAAGATAAGGGCTTGAAGCTTATTCTGGTTTGGGGCTATTTGCGAGGGTGCCGTACTAAAGACTTGTGTCCCTCTTTCCAGACCATGTGGGCGACACTCCTTCTGCGGTTATTGAAAATAAACATAACCCTCAACGTGTTATAAAAGTGTAGGAGCCCCACGAATTTATTGGAACACAAGAGAATCATACCTCATGAGAGCAGAGTTGAGGCCATTTAGCATTTCCTGCCCCATTAGCCTTGTGTTGACCAAACCCCCTCACAGAGAAGGAAATCAGGTGTCAGGCCTCTGACAGCATGGTCACAAGCAGAGAGCTCTGTCCCTCCCTGGGGCAGTGCTGCTTTTCCCACACAAAGTGTTTGGAAATGTTCCTTATACAGACCCCAATGAACCAGGAGCGGTCCTGGATAAAGTCCACTGCCCAAATTTATACATTCTTTATTCCCAGAGGTCTTCAGGTCAGGGAACATGGATGAGTAAAGAAAGAACTCCCACGAACCTTAGAGCAATAAGTTTCCCCACTATAAACAAAGCAAGGGCACAAGCAGGATGATGTAAAAGCATCTGACCTTCAGCCTCAGTTGGGGAAATGGAGTAAGGAGTGGTGGACCTTGGGGTCCTAGAGGGCACGCGCCCCACTAAAGGAAATCATCATCCTTCTGCTCTGCTCTGCTGTTGTTAATTTTAGGAATCGCTATCCTCTGGTTCTGAGGAGTCTAATTTTTCAAGAAAAACTGAATATTCAGATGTCATATATGAAATTCCTTACTTTTGAAATGGTTTACATGTTTTTAAAACTCTATGCAAGCAAAAGAAAAGACTGGTGGCCTGGAATGAGCACACAGGCCATGTCTGCTTTAAATCAAGACTGCTCAGCCGGAAACAGGCCAGGGGCTGAGCAGGAGTCAGGAGCCCCTGAAAGAGAAAACCAGCTACCTTCAAAGTGCCTGATACGATGGTTTTGAGCCCCAGCCAGGCTCCCCGCAGGTTCTCTTCTCCTTTAGAACATAACCTGTACCACCAAGGAACCATCTCAATTCCATTCCCTACCAGAAGTCTCTTTTGCATCATTTTCCAGATCCCACATCTGTTTTCCCCCTCCATCCAAATGGAACAGATGAGATATACCCACCATATAGAATTTCAAAGATTAGCCAACCCCCAGCCCAACCCAGCCTATCCTCCACACACTTAGAATAGAAGCTCTCAAACTTAGTCCAACGCTGAAATCCAAAATATGTGATTCAAAGGCACCAAACCCTCTAGGCACAACAAGGTGCTTTATTAACTTTAACCCAGCTTAATATTTGGCTTCATCTATTGCCGCAGAGAACAGTAAGACCCCAGTGCTGAAGGCAGGAAAAGGCTAGCCTTTCCTGACTCCCTCGTGCCTCCAGAGCTGAGTGGGTCTCTTCCAAACTGCGTAAGTGTGAGCATGGGGAAGATAGCTCCAGGGACCATGGCTCGCTCTGCCGAGACAGCCTGGCAAAGCACAAGCAGGTACGACAATCTTACCGACGTGTTGGCTCTTTCCTAGGAATGAACCATATGTAGCCAGAGCATCCACATCGGAAACTGAAGACCAAAGCATGATGGGGAAGTTCGTGAAAGTTGAAAGACAGGTAGGTCTTTCCTTTCCCTCACCAAAAAACAAGCTATAGGACATTTGTGTTCAAAGGTCATTTTTTTTTTCCCCTAGGAAGGTAACAGTTGAATCTCTACCACTCAGAAAAGTGATGTGGAAATTACATCCCGAGTTAGCACACACTCACTCTGCAACCACATGCAAGTTCATTCATTGTCCTGAGCCTCAGGGTCCTCATCTGTAAAATGGAGATTCTAATACCCTAAGGTGACTATGAGGACTGAATGAGTTGGTAACCATGAATCATGTGGAATAGCTTCTGGCATGCAGTAGGCCCTCAACAGATATAACTGTTCTTTGCAGCTATGGTCAGGGCAGAAAGAGAAGCCATTCCCACCCAGCACCCTATCGAGCTCACGTGTCTCTTCCTCTGGGAAATGACTTCTGTGAGCACAGTTGTACACCGGACAGATGGGTCTGTTGGTTTCCATGAGGAGCCCTACCAGCCCTCTTATTTTATTCATAAACCAGCATTGGACCTGTGCAAGAGAGGCAAGAGGAAATTTGGAGGATTACCCTTTTTTGGCATATCAAGAATATCATTTTTCATTTTTAAATTTTAATTTATAATCTCAGCTCTTCCATTTCCCAACTCCGTGACCTTTGACAAACTATTTCCTCTCTCTGCCTCTGTTTCCTCACCTGTAAAAGAGAGATAATCACCTCCCAGAGCTGTTTAGAAATGAAATGAGTCAACATCTTTAAGGGGCATCAAGCAGAGTCAGGTACTTACTAGGTGCTCTAAGTATTAGTTACTGTTAAGGCTTGGATACTGATCTAGCCTCTACATGGTACTGTGCTTCCTGGCCTTACCTGGAAGAAGGGGTGCTATCCTTGCCTGCAGTGCCTTCTGGGGAGTGGTGAGTTGTCGGGGAGGGAACACCATACATGCATGTACACACACACACACACACACACACACACACACACACGTGTGTATGTGCTCACAAAGATTGAGTCAGTTCCCAGGTTTTGCAGCTCGGAGAAAATACAACTTACCTGGCTGCAGCTCCCACTCCAAGGCCCCTAGCTGGGACCTTCAGTTCTAAGAGGCACAGTTCTTGCTGCCCACTGCTCTTGGGTCGTAGAGATTTGCACAGCCCATAGGAGGAACAGACACTAACCACCCACAGACTTCTATCTAAGTGAATATTTGCAAATCAAGAACTCTTGCTCCTTGACCCAAGTGGCAGCAGCAAAGCCATCTCCTCCTAGGGTACCACTTGTCTTCAGATCCCTTCTCTGGTCCCAGCTTTCACTTCCCAGAAAGCTCTTGCCAGGTTGTTTCTAGATTAGCACTAATCCATGTGTAGGGCTCCAAGTTAGGAAGCATGAAATAGTCCATTGTTGTAAAGATGATGATTTGCAGGAACCCTCCTGCTTTCCTGTGGTATTTCTTCCCAACCAGAAAGAGCCACCCCCATCCTGGAAAAGCAGTGACACCCACTTCCTTGTATCTCCCAGGTTCATGACATGGGGAAGAAACTGGACTTCCTGGTAGATATGCACCTGCAGCACATGGAAAGGCTGCAGGTGCACGTCACGGAATACTACCCGACCAAGGGGACCTCCTCACCTGCAGAGGTGGAGAAGCTAGATGACAACAGAGATTCAGATTTAAAAACCATCATCTGCAACTATTCTGAGAAGGGCCCCTCCGAGGCCCCCTACAGCTTCCACCAGCTGCCCCTGGACAAAGTCGGTCCCTATGGGTTTTTTGCCCATGACCCTGTGAACCTGCCCCGAGGAGGACCCAGTTCTGGAAAGGTTCAAGCAACACTTTCCTCCTCAGCAGCAACGTATGTGGAAAGGCCCACCGTCCTGCCTATCTTGACTCTTCTTGACTCCCGAGTGAGCTACCACTCCCAGGCTGAACTGCACGGCCCCTACTTGGACCAGGTCTCCCCCAGACAGAGACAGAGCATCACACGGGACAGTGACACGCCCCTGTCCTTGATGTCGGTCAACCATGAGGAGCTGGAGCGGTCTCCAAGTGGCTTCAGCATCTCCCAGGACAGAGATGATTACATGTTTGGCCCGAGTGGGGGATCGAGCTGGATGAGGGAGAAACGTTACCTCGCCGAGGGTGAGACAGACACGGACACAGACCCCTTCACCCCCAGTGGCTCCATGCCTCTGTCATCCACAGGGGATGGGATTTCTGATTCAATATGGACCCCTCCCAACAAGCCCATTTAGAAGGGGTTGTGGGCTGAGTTCTCCTTGTAATGTAGACAGACTTTGTATAGCTCACTTGCTCTCACACACGACACTTGACGGTGAGATCACCAGTAGCTGCATCAAACACATGCATGTGCGTCGCGGCCCCCCACCAGGGCAGGGGCTTTTCACGGCCTTCCTCCTCCCCAGGTCACCACAGTGAAGCTGCTTCCTTTTAAGCATGGTTTGCATGACTTTACAATATATAAATGGTACCGCTAATCTCTTCTAGGATATACATTTATCTGCTGTTCTTAATTTAAATCATTATTGGACCAGGATGGGGAGAAATTATTGACGAGCTGTGCTATCTGTCCGTTTGGTTGGCTGCTTTGGGTTTTGGTTTGGTAAGCAGGGAATGTAGTTTAAGTTCTTTCTCGAACCACTGCCCCTTTGTGTAAAACAGACCAGTAATTAACTGTTTTCTAGAGTAAGCAAATAGTTTGCAAACAAAAATCAAAGAGGTGGCCGACTGAGCTAAAACACTAAGAAAGGAAATAGAACACTAAGAAAGGAGCAAGACGGTCATCGCATATCCAAAACCACGATTTTTTTTAATTATTTTTTTGGGAAAAACTAACAAAACCATCTAAACGCTCTCAAAGGGACCTCATTTGCCCTGCCGTTATCTGTGTCCTGCCTGTTCCCTCATCCCTGGTAATCCCACGTGTAGCATTTCGAGGGAGTTATGAATTGGCGGGGAGAAAACACACACACAAGTTCAAATAGTTTCCAATTTATGTAGCCAAAGATAATGAAATTTATCAGAAGTAGGGTGCCCCTCTGGACAGGAGCTAAGATCAGTGCCTTTAAAATGAGGTTTCAACTCACATTCCTCCCCATGGTACTTGTACAAAATATCCATCTCAAATGAAAATTAGAAACCAGAAATTATCTGGTCCAAGTTTTCCTTTGTAAAAATGAGAAACCTTTGGCTCAGGTAGAGACAAGCCTGGGGTCACCTCATTGTCCGCTGGAAATCTGGGACTCAAAGCTGACTCACTCAATGCCCTGGTCTCCTGCTACCACACAACTCTGCCCCTTATACAGTGGGACCCAGAAATTGTGCCAAGATACCTGGACTCTGTCATGTGGCAAGCACCCACAACACAATTTTTTCAGCATGAGGGGGCTGTTTGCTCTTACTGCAAAAATTGCTTGCTTGATGCCTTGCATTTTGGTTCTAGGAGAATAAAACAAACCTTCAAGCAAGCAAACTTCAACACTTATTAATATGCAAATCGGCAAAATTTTCAGAACCATCCAGTTTTACTCCTCCATATTTTTTAAATGACAAGTAGCCATAAGATTAGCCCAAGTGTAAGCAGACCCCCTGGAGAGCACTGCCCAAGTGAATAAGTATTAATATTAAGTACAAGCCATCCTCTGGCCTCTTATGAGGTGTCACTACTTTCTGAAACACTTAGGTGGAAAAGGTTTCTGTTAGATTTGGGCTGGATTAGCTAAATTATGATGCGACAGTATCACTGTCTCGCTCTTATCCCACATCTAAGCACTGGTTATGGATGGTTGCCATGGTTACCATCAAGATGATCAAAAGGGCCTAACCATCTACACACAAATGATACTGTTTTCCTCAGTCTTGTAAGAGCTATGGTAGCTGTGGCAGACATCTGGTTGCTGCTTTCATCATGACCTGATGCAGGAAACTTGTACTTTGTTGGAGAGAACTAGTTTCTCAGATCTTGGTTTCTTTCAACCCACAAATCAACAGTACTGTGCAAAAGGCTCAGAGTACCATAATAATGAAGGTATGGCCCCTGACTTTAGAAATCATCATCAAAAGCCTGCCATTTTTACATGGAGATGGCATTTTACATGGAGAATCTCACAAATAGAGAGGTGTCGGCATTGAAGTCTAAGGTGGGAAATACACAAGAATGATCACACAATTCAGACCTGAACCTTCCTCCTGTCCTATGGTTTCGCATTTGACCTTCTAGCAGCCTGAAGGACAAAGGGAAGGGATTATGTGCATGAAAGTGCCATTGGAGTTAATGACCTAAGAAACCCTGTGCCCCTTCCTTAGGGTTTGGTTCTTGCTTCTGACCCTCCTAGAATCTTTTACTACAAGTAATTGAGCTACCTATCATCTAACATGTTACTGTGTTTTTCTTTATGTACATGAATTATTTGAGACAAAAAAAAAGTGGAGAATGACTCAAACTCTCCACATATGCACAAATTATGTTTACCTACTTTATTAATATTCTTACAGAACTGACGGGCCTCGGTGTCCTACCAACAGATGCATTTGCCAGGAATTCAGTAGAGTTCTCAGGCGGACAAGTGAGATTTTTCATCCTCAAGCTAAAAATAGTTATCATGGATCCAAAGTTAGAGGACTGCCTTAGGTTCGTTGAAAAACCTACAAAGGATAAGAGTTTGTATTATTTCTTAAACCATAGGAGGGCAGTCTAACCTCCTCTGCTGGATCATAAGGCCAGGATGGCAGGGATTGATTGGTTTATGTCTGTTACCATCACGCCTCCAACATGTGGTAAACTGTCATTATCAGCGTAGACACAGACAAAATACATGATTATGAATAACTAAATGATAAGGCTTTTTAAGAGCCGTTCTTTTCTGTCTAAGAAAAAAGAGAAAACTGAACTTCTTGAATATTGTTTTGATATCCCTTTAAAAGAAAAAAAAAAAAAAAGACCATTCCAGAAAAGCAAGCCAACACTATTGAAGTCACCTGCTCACAGATAACATCATCACCTGGCTTGCACTGATGAAGAAGAAACTCAAGGTATAGGACTGAACTTAAGTTATGGGGAGAAACAATGTGTGCCTCCATAATGATCTTTCTTCAGAAAAAAGAAGAGCATGATGGAAAAATCCAACAGAACTGGTTAATAATGTGGCCCAAGATCATCCTGCTTCAGATATACTAGTGGTCCTGAAGCTGGCTGGGGAAGCTACAGTAGTTTTAGCAAAATCCCATGAAATCATGACAAATTAATTCCATTGTAAAAACTAGGAATAATTTCCTTAAGTGGAAGTGTAATCCCATTATAGGTGTTCCATCTCTGTGTATCACAATATGATATAGGAAACTTTAAGAAGTCATTTTGTGGAGGATCAAAATGAATGAGAGAAAGCTATCTTCCAAATATTAGGTAAGAGGTGACCAGTTGGGCTGAGAAGAAAGTACTTGAGATCAATGTGCATTTTGACCATCAAACACCAGCACACAAGCAAACCTGAAAATTTTAAGGAAACTAATTGTGGGAGGAAAAGAAAAAAAAAAAAGCATCAAATTGAGCAAGTTCTATTCACTGACTATACTTTTTCTGGGAACTGAGAGCTTGGACTTAGTAGATAAAACAATGGTATATTGAAGCTCTAGTTTCAGTGAAAGAATCTTGAAAACTGCCAAGATATACTATAGTTTAAGATGAGCTCATTAGTCAATAATTAAAGCATTATGCTTTGTGCAGGGAAGTTCCCAGACACTGTAAGTTGAAAGAATAATTAATTGTAGGAAATCCTATTATTATAGGATCTACTCACAATTTGCAAGACAATTCTTCTAAATCCATGCCACTCTACTGATAATATAAAAACATGTGTTTGTTTATTCATTTACGAGATTTACTAAGCACCATTGTCTGCTAGGCACTATGTAACACACTGGAAATTCAGAAATAAGAAAACTGCAGTTCCTGCCACCAAAAAGCTAGGAATCTGGTGGCCTCAAATACTGGAGTTCCCTTCAAACTTTGTCTACCAGAAATGGAAAGTATCTAATTTTATCCCTGAAGACAAGTACACAAATAGGAGCTCTTCCTCACTTAGAATCAGTGGGAGACTGAGCATGGAGTAAAGTGAAAGCAAGAATTCCCCATCAAAATGGTAATGACCCCATCAGCTCAGAGAAGACTGAATGGTTGAATGAGCGGTTTCAGTTTGGTTTCAGTGCTTTCAGCTTTATAGCTCCAAATACGTTGTGTACAAAGGAGGTTTTAGAGTATCAGAACTTTCTAGAGTATCTAGCTTTTCTAGAGTATCAGAGCTTTCTCCTCCTCTTCAAATCCCTACAATGATTGAGTCTAGACAAGAAGCTGGGCTACTTCTATTTCACTGTGTTGACCGAGAGAAGCTTATGGTACAAGCCAAGACACAACATCTCTTTCAAGAAAAAGGTGTTCATCTGCCTGTGGTACTCTGCTAATAAAATTCTCCTGGAGCAAGAGAAGAAATCTGTTCAGTGGTCTAAGAAGTTGACTGCACTTTGGACAGTACTGACAAGCACACCCCCAGCTTACCCCAGAAGCTGCCCTGCAGCTGGTCTTTGTTTTCTGTGAATATGCTCTCAAGGCACTTAGGACCATATGGATTTTCTTTGTTTTCTCAACCCCAGGCATCCTTAGGAATTTGCCTCATGTCCTCACTCATCCTTGAAGGCTTGCTTAGTTGGGGATGAACTTTTTGAAAGACTAGAAGTCCTTTCCTTTTATCCAAATCACCCAGTGTTCCACTGCAAAACTGATATTACGCTACTCAAAACCAAATAAATGGTCCCCTAAACAAGTCCCCTAACCTGATGTTGAGGTGAGAACATGTTAGGGACCAGGCTATCTCTATAGTTTTAGTGGTTTGGGAAAACCAACAGTGGGAATCTCAAAGAGACAGGAAGGATATAGACATGGCCTGGATGAAAATTTGAGACACTCACAAGTATTTGACTTTCTAGGTCTGTTTTGACTTTCAAATGGGACAGTTGGTATATGTAAAGACTCTAGTACATATACCCATACATATGGGGACTGTCATACGTATTCATTTTTAATACTCTGTGTGGACTCCACTGTCTCAGTCCTCAGTACTATCTATGAACTCCAAATTTACCCCCCTGGAAAATCCTCTTCTTAGAAAAAGAACAGTGGAAATATCCTGATTCAGGAACTTTTACAGGGGCTTTTTTCAAAAAGTACATCTCTATAAATGAAATGAGGAAGGGCAGGAATGTTGAAATGAAGGTTGGGTTGCAGTGGCTGGGTTGTGGCAGTTCCATTGGACCCACAATACCACATGTTGAACCATCCTCTCAAAGAATGATCTGTAGGAGGCAAAGCCAAATAGCAGGAACCATTAAATATGAAGGAACTAGTGGTTACAACAAGGAAAAGTTAACCATGACATGATGTCTATCATACAACATCCTAGCAATGAATGGAGAACTTCCAGAAGAAAGAGTTCAAGCTCTCTCAAACTCTCTCCAGGGAAATTTGTTCCTAGCCTCTAACAACCT